GATTTCGAAGATCAATATGTATTCAATTTATTCTACGTCGAAATTATCGAATCAACTAATAGATTTGGAAAAACTTTTGTTTTGTAAAAAATTTGTTTGTTAAAATTCGAGTAAAAGTTAGAAAAAGAGAAATCTATTTATTCTATTTTTCATTATTTATATACTATCATTTACTTAGTATTTATAATTATTTATTTAACAGTTATTTTAATGATTTAAATTACAATGATTTATGTGTACTATATTTCGATATGTATATTCTAGTACCTTGTATACGTATCTATTAACATATAACATTTCATATTGTAAACTTTGTGAACTGTAAAGTGACCAAGAGAAAATTAAAACATGAAAGATCCACTTCGTTCGAATTCACAACAAAAATTTCGTCACATTTTTCAATTAGGTCTTACCAGAGATCGTTCATTGAATTTCAATCTCTACAGTGATCTTTAATAAAAAGACATATAAAAATAATAAAAACGATCGCAATAAGGATTGCTTATAGGTTATACAATAATTATGCTATATAGACCAATACAAAGTGGTAAATATAATTACCAGTAAATTACATGAAAATAATCATTTTGTTCGAAATGAGCAAGTGTTTGTTGACCTGTGAATCTATGTACAATCGTCCAAAAAAAAGTTTAATAATTAAAATTAAAATCGTTAAAGAGAGAGAAAGAGAGAGAGAGAGAGAGAGAGAATGAACAAATGAAAAACTGGAATCTGTTTTGCGCGAGACACTGTCAGCTATTTTAATACCATGTCAAGGAGTTAATTATGTATGCTCGTATTCAAGATCGTTGTTCGTCTCCCGTTGGGAGAATCGTGTATGTATAAAACTGGTACGCTGTTTCAATTCCCACGTGAAATTCCTCGCATTTAATCGAAAGTCTTCTAGTAGTCACCTTACCTCGATAAGAATTTCTTTCATCACGATCGCGATATTGGTTCTTCACTGGCCAATTTCAGGCTATTAACTGTTATCGATCCCCTCTTTACCGATCGACACCGAGTAAAATCAGAATAAAGTTCATTTCGGGATAAATTTTCACATTAGAGAATTCATAGCTCGATTTCTATATTGATAATGCAGAATATTAGAATTTCAAGATAACGAGAATTTTAGGACACATCACGGTTTTAGGATTCGTTTTTCCAGGTGATAGTTTTTATAGATTCTACAAATATCTGTGTTGGTCTTTTAATTAATTTTATGTTAATTAACTCACTTAATGTTAAGTCGCGGTAAATATGATATAATTTTCTTTTTTCTTTGAAATGATATACTGAGTTTTACAAGTGAATCTAGTTTCTTTTCCTAGAAGTACTATAAAATTGGACTTTTGCGTAAGTACTTCGCAAGAGATTAAGAATAATAGAGAAATAAGGTAAAGGAACAGAAGAACTACGTTTAACAATAATTAATTCCTACTTCTTCTAATAATATAGCTGTCTTAATAACTTTTCAGTATAACACTTTCCTGTTAGACATTAATCTTCTTTTCTAATCAACTTCTGAACTTTATTTTCTAATTTAATTCAAATTTCGCAATTCAATTCAAGCTTTCCAATTAATTTCCAAAAATTACTTTCCAAGTTATTTCGCAAGTTACTTTCAATTTAATTCAAATTTCCACAATCCAAATCTCCCGGTATTCTTCTATCGGTTTACTTTTATTTTCAACAACTTCCTTTTTATTGGAACTTGTGGAACATGAAAATGTGAAAACCTTTTTTTTTTTTTTTTTTTTTTAATAATTCCACGGGTCCAATTAAAAGATTTCGTAATTTTTTCAAACCCTGGTCACACCGTTTTTAAATGTCGTAGCATTCCAATTTTGCTCGAAAAATCTGTTCGTTGTAAAAACGTATTCGGTATTTATTCGAAAGCAGCTTAACAAGGATGTTAAACGAGACCATAAAGGGAAGTAGTTTTCTTGCTATTATACGAAGCCAAATATCGCGAAGGAACGCGGACCAACAGGTTGCGAGGGAACGCGAGGACAGGGGATCACAGATCGAAAAAAAGAAAGGATGAATTAAAATTGCGCAGGTAGAGAGTCTGTGGTATGCGAGAAAAACGAGCATTTTGACCGAGGAAACGCAGAAGGATTGAAGGCCGAGTATAATTCGATGCAAATGTACCGGGCAGGCATCGACAGAACCGGTACGAACCTCGAATACACAGTGACCTGGACACGCTCGAAAATGTCCTACGACTCGAACACACGAGTGAAAAGGTAAGAGATTGATTTAAGCTTGGAAGCTTCGCGAAGGGCGTGATCGATAAATAACATGCGACACTATTTTCGAAAAGTCTCTCTTTTTCTTTAGGAATTTCCTTATTTCTGTTTAATTTATTATGAAATGGCCAAATTGATCAACCTCTATTTTTATCTTTGTAGTTCTTAACTTACATAATTAATATCTCTAACTATATTGTTTTATTTTAATATATTTTTATACTTTTAATTTCAGTTGGTTTATATTTCAACAAAAACAATGTAACGATTCATTATTATAAATAATTTTGAATACATTCCTGGTAAATTTCCAGTTTTTTGAATACGCTGATAATTGTAATACGATGTTAATAATTAATTATATGGTTACATACGATGTTGTGAATAATTAGTACTAATAAATTAATATATTACAATTTATTATGAATAATTAATTATGATTATGTCTGATAGTATAATTATACATGATTATACGATTTTTTTTCTGTATTCATAATTATGGAGTTGATTAATCATGGCTTTCGAACGAATTCTATTTTTGTTTATTATATATATTCGTAAAAATATGAATTTCCATAAATATAATGAAATTACATAATTTGAAATTTGACAAGAACTTTTGATTTGAAGGATTTGAGAGTTATATTCTAAAATATTTCTTTGGAGATTTTTTAATAATCTTTATAGTTTTAATTAATTCATCATAAATTAATATATCTTGAAACGTACAATATTCAAGAAAGCTCAACACCGACGAAGAAAATTAACCGAGAAGAATTGAAGTAGAACTTTTTTAGAGTCCTGTTTCAGAAACTAACGTTTCCATTCTAAATACATATTAATCGCAGCGAATTACAAATCTTAAGAACGAAAGTAATTTCACAGTAAAACCTAATACTAAGGAAATTCCTTATCATTTTCCTTTGTGGAAATTCCGAGGACTTCTAGACCTTGTTATTAGATCGTACAATATATTTCTGTGCAAATTCATATTTCTAGAAATATAATATTAAAAAAAAAA